GAATTACAATATTTCGTAAAGCACTATGGTAATCTGAATTAAATATTGATACTGTAATTGAAAAAAATTGCAAAGGGAAAATCCATGATTAAGAAAGAACACATGAAGTTATCGCTCGCGATGGCGTCGAAAAATTATATTATGGAATTATACTACGAGCGGAAATTAAATTAAAGCTGCTAAATTAGCTGCTTTCTTGCTTTCTTTTATAATTCCCGAAGCGATAGTTTTTTCCTTATGGGAAACCTTGAGCTCTTGGTCGAAGAGTGACTTAATAAGAAATCCATCTTTGGTGTTCGTAAATTTTTTGGTACCAGGTACCTCAATTTCTATACCCAAGTCAGAAAAGGATTCTTTAAGACCGCCAATTTCGATAAAGTAATCGTCGGGATCATTTTCTTCGATACCTTTCTCAAATTTTCCAGAAGCCGTTATAGTATCTTCAGCAGATTGAGTGAATGTAATGTCGCCGCCAAGTTGTTCCTTTAAATCGACGACTGCTTCGTCACCGATTTTACAACGTAGTGGAGTCGCGTTGAGACATAACGCGAGTAGAGAAAAGGCTACAAAAGCAACGAAGAGTGTACGTTTTAATAACATTATTAATTTATTTGTGATTTTGAGGAAGTAAAATGTCTGCTCTTTTATACTTATAATTATTTATTAACTCGGTCTTTACAGTTTCATGTTCGATAATTACCTCGTTCACCTTTCATAGAAATTTAAAATTTAAAAGTTGAACATCTGAAATTCAACCGTTTTATCTCGGTAGAAACGGAAATTTGAAAATTTGATTGATTTTCCCATACGTGTTCGCGATTTAGAAGCCTTGTACTGAAGATCTTGCCAGAACGTGCAAATGATCCCCGCGTTATGTTGCCGACGTTTTCGCGTGAACCTTTAGTTATTATACCCACACAACTAAAAACGTTTCTTTTCGTTTTGAAACACGGATAATACTGTATATTCGTATCGCCCATATTATCAAATTAAATTACTAATTAATATAATTATAGATTATTAATTAATCTTTTTGGTTGATTTTAAGCAAATTAAAAATTTTAAATTTACTTTATGAAGCATAAACATAGATTAAAAATTTTAAATAATCTTTATTTCAATATTTAATTATTCGATTATCCTTAAAGCATTTTCTTTTTTAATTTTGAACAATTTTTTTTTGGTTTAATTCGTAGCACTAGTCGAAATTATGTCATTCGGCTGCCGAATTATTGCCGAATTTGGCAAAAATTAATAATAAAAAGATTGACAAATTATTTATGATTGTTACCACTCGGCATTAAAAATATTGGCAAACAATTGACAAAAAAATATCAGTATTCTACAAAAAAAAAAAAAATTCAGCAAAAAAATTGATACTGTGGCAAAAAATTTTGCAAAAAAATTGATACTGTGATAAAAAATTCAGCAAAAAAATTGCTGTGGCAAAAAATTTGACAAAAAAATTTTGTCAAAAAAATTACTGTAGAAAAAAATTCAAATTTCATGAAATTTATTAATAAATTACAGATTTAATTAACTAAATTGTTCATTATTTTTCTCTTCCTCTTCCTCCTCTTTCTCCTTTTCTACTTACTTTTCTTTTTCTTTTAAAGATTTTGGCTTGACTCTTTTAAAACTAGTATCAACTGATTTTATCTTACTGAATATTTTCCAAGATTTTTCACTTTTTTCTTCTAATATAACTACCCCCGAATTTTACCTATTCATACACTTTCTCCAGTTTGTTTCTCACTCTCTGAATACATTAATGATTTCTCATATTCAGTAATTTTTTATCTTTTGGATTCAACTACCAATTTTTTTCCTTTTTTTATTTCTTTTTCTTGTTTACATTCTGAAATTTCTTCCAAACTGTATGCACAATTTAATAAACCTTCTGATGGCATTATATTATAAAAATATAAATTGTTATGATATCATTTACAAGTCAACTGGAATGCTTGAATTGATTTTGAATATTTATTCAAATATATCAACAAATCCTTTAACTATAAGAAGTAATTATAATTATTATTATAATTATTCAGCATATAATATTTTGCTGAAAAATACCTCTTCAGAATATTAACTATAATCATATAATTTATTTTCATTTTAGTGAGGTTTCTCGGATCAGTATCACTTTTTTCAGGTGAATGTATCTTTGTTTCTTTAATTAATCAGTTAATTTATTCTGATATTTGGCAACTTTCTTTAATCTTCTTTCAATAAGTGACTGTATGTTTTTAAATTTTTGTGCCCTTTTCTTAATTATTTGTTAAAAATTAATACTTGAAGGTAGTATAAATATAGAATATTATTAATCTTACTTTGTTTAATCAGCTATTTACATGTAAGCGATAATTGACTGCTTCTAATTTTCTAGTTTCTGCCTTCCGATATCTTCCTCTCTAATGGCAATGTAAAACACCTAACCATTCGTTTATTTGCTTTCATGAGGGATTAAAATGTAGGACCATGGATTTTATTAATTCGGATATTAACTTTAGTAATATTTTTTTATTCACATCATTTGAAAAAACTTTGTCTACTTTCAGTTTATATTCATCAGGAATGGTTTTCATTAAGGCCTTTATTTCTGCTCTCATTTCTTCTGATTTTGGCTTATCTTCAGTAACCAGTTTTACCGGTTTTGCCTCTTTACTACTCCTCCTAGGTTAAATTCTTTGATATTTTCTTAAACTTGGTAAACTTTTAGATTCTGATATATCAGTTACTCTAGATTCTACAACAACTATAGAATCAAGTTCAAGTTTCACAAATTTGAACCGATCAATTTCCTTTTTTAAATCATCTATTTCATTTTTTTGTTATTCTGATTCTTTGAAAAACTTGTTGTTAATATATTTCATTAGGTCTAATTGTTTTACAAATTTGATATTTTCTCTTTCTAGTGTTTCAATCCATGCATGTAATTATTCATTTTTTAAATAAATTATTTGATTAATAAAGGTAATTTTTAATAATTAAACAATAATTTAATTCTAATTTTTTTCAATATCCTTCCTGATTTGAGTTTTGGATGGCAACTCAACTTCTGGTATTGATATTTGCACAACTTCAGATGCCAATATTTCAGACAATACAATAGATGGCCTTTTCCTAAGCAATTTGGCAGTCATAGTAGGGATTGAAAATTCGGTATCAGGTGTTACTGAACAAACTGTTGCCACTTCTGATGCAGTTGATACGAAGGAAGTTTGCAATGACAGGGAAGGTTATAAAGGTGAAGATAACTGTTCTCTGTAAAAAATACATCCAATTGGTTTTTTCTGTTCAGATATTTTAGATATCAAAAAAAAAATCAAATTAAAGGGATATTTAAATAAAATTATTCATATTGTTTTAATACAATTCAGAGCTGCATACAATATTATACTATTATTCATTATATTATATTACAATTCAAAGTTATATACTATATTATACTATATATTATTTATCATATTATGCTTGTATTATATTATAATTTAAAGCTATTTAATATATCAATCACAAATTTGCCATTTTATATTACTATTTGACAATTTTCAAAATGTTAAGAAAGCATTCAATTTCAGCTTTACTTAATGAAAGTTTAAGAAAAAATCACAAAAAAGTGAAAATTACTTGCAATTGTAATAAATGCAATGGATCACTTGTTGATTCACAAACAGAATTTTCACATAGATATCAAAAAACAAAAGGCAAATATTTGACAAATAAAGAATTCACATTTCAGCGCAGAATGAGAAATATTTCATCAAATTGAATTATGTCATTAAGCAATAATCAACAAAATCTGAGATTGAATAATACAAGTTCTGAAAATGATGAATCTGAAGTTAATGATAATAAAGAAATAGATGATATATTTGAAGATTATTTGGCATCAAAATATAAATTTTCATCAAATTCTAGCAAACTTTTGGATAGTAAATTATTGAATAGTGCAACAGATGCATTGCTAAAATTTATGAAATTGGTGTTAATTGAAATTGGTAACAAAAAATTTGAACTCTTTTGTGGATTTTTGTATATTACTAACAATAAACTTGAATTATCAGATCAGTTTATTAGTTTTGTGACATGTCAAAGATGCCACAAATTGTATAGACAGAATGATATTCTTGGTTTTCAAAAAAATAATCGACTATTGGTCATGAAGTGTGTTCATATTGAATTTCTCAATTCAGCAATAAACTGAAGAAAACTTGCAATTTCCTACTATCTACACAATCAGAATTATTAATGGAAATGTAATTAATCAGTTCAATTTAGTTTTTCTATATTCTACTATTTGATATCAATTGTCGCAAATGTATCAAAATTCAAATTTTGAATCTAATCTTCAGTATTGGATAGATCAATTAAGCATTGATAAACTTCTATGTGATATTTATATAATGATAGGTCTTTAAAATATTTAGTATATAAAATTTTGCAAATCACTTATGTCTCTTTTTGAGAAACAAAATTCATAGCTCTTTACTTTAATAGGGACAAAAGTCAGGAAATGTTATAAATAAATGATTTGATAATAGAGAACAATTATGGATAGTTTTTTTATAGTTATTAATTTAAAAATTTTAATGTTTTTTAATGAAGGACATTTGATTTTTGTTCTTGTCTCCTTCTTTAGGAACACATCTTTATATCTATAATGGTGATATTTGGAAAACTTTTAAAAATGAAAACTCAGAATTATTTTTTAGCAAAGAGATAACTGATTTGCATTTGGGATTGGTGCTAAATATTAACTGGTTTCAACTATTTGATAATAAAGCACACAGTACTGGAGTTACATATGCGGCTATCACAAATTTGCCATGTGAAATATGATTTAAACATGAAAATATGTTGATTCTTGGCATATTATCAGGTCCTAG